AAATGGCCATCCCTTAGGGGCAGACCTCATCATGCCGGAAAGTACATGGCAAACGTCTGCTGCTTTCCAAAGGGCACCCACTGTGCGACTACAGAGACCAGCCAGAACCGGGAGACTGCACTGCAGTGAAGGAAGTGCAGAAAGAACTGCCAGGGATTGCAGACAAGAACTGTGTTGGCATGTGTCTAATGCCCCCCACTGCCTGTGTATTTGGGGGCAGGGTGGATGCTGATTTGGATCTGTCTTACCCCGCTTACCAGGCTGAAAGCTGGAGCTACACACACACACACACACACACACACACACACACGCACACACACACACCCCAACACTGATAGTCAGAGAAGCAAACCCTCCCCTAGAGGCTACTGCGTGTAGCCCCAGGGGCTCTCCCCAGGCCCTGCTGACTTGCCTGACCTGGGCTGGCAGCCCTAACACAGGGAGGGAACAGCTCCAGTGAGGCCTAATCACAGTAGGAGCTCAGAACACTGGCTGAATGGGGACTTGAATGAATGGGGACTCTCCCAAAAGAATGAAGTATCCTCATTCTAGAGACGAGAAACGAAGTCCTGGCAGATGAGGGATTTGCACGAGGCTGCAGCGGATTTTGGGATTCAAACTCAGTCATTCTTCCACATCAGAAGACAGCTGTGTCAAAGACTATGCCGCAACTGACTATGAGGCCCTTTCACTTTGCTTTTCTCCTCTATGCTTGGCTTCTTCTCCTGAGTTAATTTCAATTGTGGTTTCCAACCCTAACCTCAACTTGAAGGGTCTTCCATTAGGGCAGTCTTGCTCCATAAAAGTCAGACAAGTGAAGAGAGGAGGACAGCTCACTTAAATGACTTCCTCCTGGCTTCCGTGTGGTGGCTCTGTGCGCCGGCAACCAGGAATGCCAGGGCTGTTCCATCAAGACAGCTCCGTGCTGCTTCCAGTCTGTCTGCTCCCACCCATTCTGTGCCCAGTGGGAGGGAGGGCACCTCCTGAACTGCCCCTGAGTCACCCTGGACAGGGATCTGCAAGGTTACAGAGGGCCAATGTTACTGCTTGTTTAGCATGAAGTTCTCAAAAGCTTTGAACCTTTATTGCTAACAATTAAGATGGGGAGTATTGATAAAAGTGCCTTGAAGTTGAACAAACAGGTGGAAATGAGAAACATCCTTAGCGGATGCTGCTGGCTCCTCATCTATTTCTCCACAATAGAAACACACGCACTTTAGCCTCCAAACAAAGCATTGGGTCTCCACAGAGCACTGTGATTCTAAGTCTACTGCGCACTCAATGTCATTGGCCAGTGAACGAGTCCAGTGCTCTTCTGGGGGTCTCTCCAGTGAGAAGGCACTGATCCAGACATGCAACTGTGCTGTGCCCATGTGCAGCGCCCTGTGCCTGTCCACCTGCACCTCCTTCATCTCCTGGCCAGCAACCTCTTCTCCCTGCTCTGTCCAGACAGCTCCGTGCCGCTCTGCTGCTTCCAGTCTCCCGCTCCCATCCCATTCCTCAGTGTGCAGCTAGCCCACTCCTTCACGGACTCAGTCTGAGCTCTCACTCCCAGCCACATCTCCACTGAAGCCCTCCACCAAATCCACTGCCCACTGTGGTTCTGGTTTGACAGAGCGCACCCATGTCAGCCCACCTGGCCTTGTGTCACCTCGTTTGCCTTCCCCCTCAGACCGCCCATTTCTAGTTCTGTCTGTCTTTGCCCTAGGTATATTCTTTCAACTCTCCAGTGCTGTTTCTCTTCCGTGAATGTTTTCTTGTATAGTGGACTCATCTCACTTCACAAAGTCCTAAAATTCAGGGCCAAAGGGGACGCATTGAGTCAAGAAACTCCAGTCCTCCTCCTGTTCTCTTAGGGTCTGATCCCCCACCTCATCCGCCCAGCGGGAGCTGCTTGCGCTGTACGTACAGCTGGGCTGATGGGGCAGTCGCACTCAGCACTTGCGCCGGGCTACAATCACAAGACAACACTTCTGGGCTTTGGAGTCAATCTCCTCTCATGTGTCTCCCCACTTGGCTGGACTCCTTCTCTTTGGGCTCTCTCAGGAAACATCTGACCCTCCTGGCCAGCCCTTGAGAGCAAGCTACAAGGACAGAATTCACAAGGTCCCCATCTGAAATTTCCTCTTCCTCATCTTTTAATTCCAAGTTCCTGAAATGATTTCTCTTGTGTCTTGCTGTCATGTCCCTCTGTCTTCCTTCCCCTCAAGGATTAGGAATGTCTCCAGCTGCTTGTTTGGTTTTGGTGTGTGTTAGGGTTCATGCCCTGTCCTGGTCATCAAGGGACCGGCCATGAGAGCATCCCAGATAGCTGCTCTTCTTACAACATGGCTTCCAGAATAAAATGTTACTCCCTGGGCTGCCACTGGAGCAGAATCTATTGTCTTCATTCTGAAAATGCTATTTCTTTTCATGCTGCCCAAAGCTGCATTAACCTCTTGAGAGTCACAGGCCAGAGACCTGGTGTGGCGCTGTGGGTTAATGCACGGGATGGAAAAGTTGGTTTGAACAGCAAGGTTGGTGGTTCGAGCTCATCAGCTGCTCCTCGGAAACCCTATGCAGGATCGCTATGGGTCAGAACCGATTCGATGATACTTAACAACAACTGTCACATGTGCTACTGCTGGGGACATCCCCCTGGGCAGGACATTACAGCTCTCCTTGACAAATCGGTGCTTCTTTGGCAACTAGAAAACAATTTTTTTATTTAGGCACCTACTTCTTTCTCAGGCGTCTCACCTCGAATCCTCAAAACAGTCCACAAGCAGTACTAGCCACTGTCCACTCTCTCCTCCCGCCTTTTGTTTCTTCTGCCTTTGAGTTGTTAAGATGGAGACATTAAGAAGACACTAGTCCACACAGCTTGGAAGGGCAGTGTTAGGGCCTGGACCAAGTTTCCCTCCTGAGTTTGTACCATTCTCAAGGTTCCAATGGGGGTGTCTCACTTCTGCCACCCTTCTCTGGTGTCTTAGGGGCTGAGACCACAGCAAGTGGGGTCCCCACATGTCACATGATATGAGAGAATGAGGCCATGTATTTAGCAAACCAGCGCTTCCTCCAAAGTGCCATCTAAAGGGAACGATGCATGGCTAAGACAGGCCTTAGGGCGCAATGCGTGTGGGCGCAGCAACTGGAGAAATGCGAATGGCAGCCAGGTGACACAGGCCAGCTCCTTAGGCCTAAAGTCTCTGCAAAGGTGAGCAGGAGAAGATGAGTAAAAAGGAGCAAACAAAGGTTAAGTGAAGGTGTGCGCATCTCTGAGAAGTAAAGCAGTGCTTACAGCAATGAGGGCTGTGGATCGGTGTGTCTGTGAAATGAGACAGTGCTGAAAGACAGACGGAGCCTGTGTTTGGGGTCCACATGGTGGGAAAGAGCACAGGCTTCAGTCAGACTCTGCAGACTGCAGTCCTGGCTCTAGAACTGCCAGCTGTTGATCTCAGTCTCCCCATCTGTAAAATGGGACTAATAACAGCACCAGGCTCACTAGGTTGTTGTGAGTTCATTCATGTAAAGTACGTAGAATAAAGCCAGGCACATGACAAGTACAGCTGACCCTTGAATAGTGTGGGGACTTGGGGTGCTAACCCAATGCAGTAAAAAATCTGTGGCTAGCTTTTGACTCCCCCCAGACTTAATCACTGAAAGCTTCCAGATACCTGGAAGCATTACTGATTCACACTTATTTTGTGGGCTTTTATATATTCTATGCTACAGCCATAGAAAAGCTGCATTTTCAATACAAGGTAAAGCGGTCATTCTGTAAAATGCACAAGGTTTTTGCGCCTGTGTTGGCATAGTGACAGATTCACAAACTTCCATTCCTTTCTTCTCTTTTTTGTAATGTTCCTTGCGACGCTGGACTCAATTACGTTGAAATGGCAGGCAACCACAGGCGCAGACCTCAGTCTATGGTACGTACCGAGCAAGGCAACATTTTCCTGGCCCGCTGTGACATATCTCTGCTTCTTGGGAGCAGTTCCAGCATCACAAGTGGTACTTCATGTGGGTTCCTTGGTGTTATTCAAGGTTTAAGGTACCACACTAAACATGATGACAAATATGCCAAGAACCAGGAGATCACTTTTTACTGTGATATGCAAATTACTGGCGAGATGAACCACTCACACAGAGATGACCAGTTCCACGGGTATGTTAAAAACTCTGAGTATGAGTGGACCCATGCAGTGCAAACCTATGCTGATCAAGGGTCAACCTCATCCAATACTTGTCTGTTATTACCGCTAGCATAAATAGTACTACCATGGCATGACTCACGCCACACTTTACTCCTAAGTGTGGGGCTCCTAGGTAGGACCCTGGATACACAGGAACACGTGTCATTGTCCAACATGGTGCCCACAAAGGGGCCCTTGAAGAAAGATGCACTCTACAGCCCCCATGACCAGTTCCACGTACCAGCGGGGTTTATTTCCATTAGATTTCAGAATACTTCAGGTGGCTGGCTGACTTTTCCAGGCAGCTGAGTCCTTGGAGCCACCAAAGACTGAGGGCCTCCTCTGTGCTAGACACGGTGCTAGGGGCACTCCACAGAGCATCTCTGATAACTAAGTGTCCAGTCAGAAGGGGGCCATCAGCTGGGGTGTCCTCTGCCAAGCACCTGGCTTCCACCTGGGACTGCAGAGTTCTCCGTTAGAAGGAGACTGTAAAGACTCCCTACAGCACAGCTTTGCTGCAGAGTGGATCCTGGGCACTAAGACAGACATTTAGGAGACGGATTAAGGACAAGAAAGAAGCAGCCATTTTACGGTAGATGTCCACCAAGGGATGTCGGAGACGGTGAGACCACATCAAAGACTTTGCTGCGGAAAACAACGCCTGCGACGTCTCATTATTTATCTGTTTTTCATGACGTCAAAACAAGAGTCAATGATGACAAGCTGTACATGAGACATCTGGCTTCTGAACTTATAAACATCTTCCAAATAACAGAAATGGGGGCACTCCTGTGGTCTTAGGCCTGAAGCCATTAGAAGTCCTACCTGATTTGCTCTTTCGAGGTCCGTCATGATCATTTCAATTTCGTCAGCCCTAGGGAGGGGAGAGGGAGAGAGCATGTTAGTCAGCAACAAGGCAGGCTCGGGCAGGCGATTAACAGGACAGGGCTTCGTGATGAGAACCTGGCAGGATGGCCCGCATCCATGGTGTGTGTGTGTGTGTGTGTGTGTGTAGGGAGGACAGCGGCATGCAGACCACCCAGGAGATGCCGCTGGGCAAACTGGGCAGAAGGCTTGGGTGGTGTGAGGGACTGCCTGCCCTTGAGAGGCTCCCAATCTCAGAAGGGAGACAGAAGCCATAAAAAGATAAAATGCATGCGATTTATTCCAGGAATGCAGGGATGGCTCAACATTAGAAGGTCCATCAATGTAATGTACCAGCCACATCAATGGAACACAGGAAAAGAAACACGTGATCATCTCTATGGATGAAGAAAACACATTTGATAAACTCCAAACACTCTTTCTTGATGAATACCCCAAGAAGATTGGAATAAAAGAGAAATTCCTTAGTATGACTCAGGGCACATATGAAAAGCCAACAGGAAACAGCACATGTAATGGAGGAAGGTTGAGAGCTCCCCATGAGACCAGGAAGAAGACAATAGTGTCACCGTCACCGCTCACCACTTGTATTCAGTGTTTTATTAGAAATCCTAGCCAGAGCAATAAAACAAGAAAAGGAAAAAAAAAAAAAAGGCACGTAGATTGCAAAAGAACAAATAAAACTGTTTCTATTCACGGATGACATGATCCTACATATAGAAAATCCCAAAAAGCCTGTAAGACAGCTTCTAGAGCTAACAGAAGTATTTAGCAAAGTTGCAGGGTGCAAGGTCAACAATAAACATTAACTAGGCTTCTCTACACCAGCAATGATTAACCTGACAGGGAAATTAGGGGTGCAGCTCCATTTATAGTAATGGCTAAGAGAGTGAATCTAACCAGGGACGTGTAAGAATTCTACAATGAAAACTATAAAATACTGCTGAAAGAGATTAAGGACTTAAATGGAAAGATGTTCCAAGTCCATGAACTTAATTTGTTAAGATGTCCATGCGACCCAAAGCAATCTATAAATTCAATGCAATCCTGACCGAAACTCCAACAGCCTTCTTCACAGAAAAGAAAAACACGTCCTTAAATTCATATGGAATGGCGGAAGCCTCGAATATAGCTAAAGCAATATTGAAAGAAGAACAAAGTAGGACTCACACTTTCTCATTTTAAAACTTACTATACAGCAAAACAGCCTGATTTGTTGTTGTTGTTGTTAAGTGCCGCCGACTTGGTTCCAACCCACAGCGACCCTGTATAGGGTTTCCAAGGAGCAGCTGGTGAGTTTGAAGTGTCCACCTTGCGGTTCAAACCAACTTTGCAGTCTAGTGCATTAAACCGCATCGCCATGCCAGGCCTCCAGACAGCCTCATACTGGCAGAAAAATCGACACTTGGACTGATGGGATAGAACTGAGAGTCCAGAAGTAAATCCACACATCTAAGGTTGACTGACTTCTGTCAGGTGTGGCACTGCAGGGTAATGTTCTGGACCACAAGGTTGGTGGTTCAAATTTTCACCCCCACTAGGATGGCTACGAGAAACGAAACAACAGAAACAAACAGGAAAGAACAAACGCTGACAGGAACGCAAAACGCACAGCTCTTGTGTAAACCAGTGGTTGTTTCTCAACAAACTAGAAATGTAACTACCATGTTGGTGCTATGGTTAAGTGCAGCTGAGGAGGTTCCAACCCATCCCCACCCTGTATAGGGTTTCTGAGGAGCGGCTGGTGGGTTTGAACAGCCAACTTTGCAGTTCAAACTGACCTTGCGGTCCAGTGCATAATCCTGCTGGCACCACACCACAACTACCATGTGACCCAGCAATTCCACTCCTAAGTAAGTACCTCAAAGAGTTCAAAGTAGAGGCTCAAACAGAGACTTGTATACCAAAGTTCACTGCAGCTCTCCGCACAATCAATCAGCTAAAAGACAGAAACAATCTAAGTGCCCACCAATAGATCAATGGATAAACAAAATGTGGTCCCCACACATAAACATATACTACTCAGCCGGTTTGAGAAACAAAATCTTATACTTGCTTCAATATGGATGGAGCTTGCAAGACAGTATGCTGAATGAGATCAGTCTACCACAAAAGGACAAATATTGTAACGATCTCCTTTATATAGCAAGATATGAACCGGCAAATGTATTGAAACCAAGGGTTATTTAGTGGCTACCGGGGCGGGAGGGAGTGGGGAGGAAGGGGTTGCTGCTAATGGCGTACTGAGATTTGGTTCACACGGAGGAGAAACTGCATTGATTAGGGGTTGAGCTACACAGCCAATTAATATAATTCCTATCAAGAAGTTGGACACAGTAAAAAGTTGAATTACAAAGTTTATGCGATAAATTTACAACATATTTATAATGACAACAATGACAAAAAAGTAACTTCTGAGACTATTTATGTCCAACTAAACACCTCATGGGATTTGGCTCCTTGGTTTGGAGGTTTAGAGTCATGGGACACCCCAGTTAATTGGTCTAATACCTAAGAATGTGTATTCCAGCACTTCTTTCTATCTCCTAGTTCATTGTGCGCTGCCTGGGGTCTTCAAAACTTACAAATTGCCATCCAAGGCCCAGCAATTGGTCTCCATTTACCTGGAGGCACAAAGGAAGGAGAGCCAGGAATAGGAGAAGGATAGGGGATGGATGTGTGGCTTCCACGAACAGCTGTCCTCCTCTGCTATGAGACCAGAAACTGGATAGTTACCACTGCTGAACATTTCGATTAAAGATTCAATGGAAGAATCTTGGTCAGAGGGGGGAAATACACAGCAGAATTTCAAATTCTCATGGACGGAAAACTTTCCAGAGCCATGGAGACTGGATGACCCCCTAAACCTTCTTAAAACCAAACAATGTTGTTGTTAAGTGCCACTGCATTGCAGTTCTGACTCTTAGTGATCCTGTATAGAGTTTTTGAGGAGCGGCTGGTGGACTTGAACTGCCTACCTTGCAGTTCAAACCGACCTTGCAGTCCAGCGCATTAACCTGTAGCACCAACCCAGGACTCCAAACAACAGCTCAGCCTCATTCCTTACTCACTAGTAAGGAATACCTGCTTTAAGCACTGATCTCTTTTAATGTCTCTCTCTATAGGGTTCAAATTGACAACAGCCACTTAAAAAGGAAACTTACAGTTAGTGAGTTTGTGTTACTATGGGAGGAACAATTTGGCAAAGGAGGAGAAGAACGGCTGTACAACCTAAAGAGTGTAATCAATGTTACTGAATTGTACCAGCAGAAATCTACTGTGTGTATTTAACAACAAAAGCAACACATGCACACACAAGGAAGCTTCAAAACCCAAATATATGTTGTCGTTAGGTGCCATCAAGTTGGTCGCAGTGATATGGAAACAGGAGCCCTGGTGGGCATGGAGGATAAGCACTGAGCTGCTAACCTCCACTTCAAAGGACAAAGATGAGGCTTTCTGCTCCCGTAAAGATTTATAGGTTCACAAATCCTACACAGGGTCACTAAGAGTTGGAATTGACTCAGCGGCAGTGGGCTTGGTTTTTTGGAGCTACATGGAAGATAAGGGGAGTGCAGTGGCTCTGTATGTATGATAAGCACTGAACTGTGAATCACAAGGCCCGTGGTTCGAGATTGCCAGTCGATCTGTGAGAGAAAGATGAGGCTTTCTGCTCCTGTGAAGATTTAAAGTTTTGGAAACCCCTATAGAGGATGGCTATGAGTCAGAACCACCTCGATGGCATTTAACAACCACATGGAAGATAAAATACGGTGTGTGCTCTGTCAAAAGCTGGAACAAAGCTTTGGAAAAACAGAGGAGGGAGAGATTAATTTCCTTTGGAAGAGGCAGTTGGGAGATTTTAGAGGAGGTGACTTATGGGCTGGGTTTTGAAGGATGATTAGAAGTTTTCCAGGCTTGGGTGAGAGAAGGCAGTTGTGAAAAGGTTATGTTAGGACAAGGAAGAGCACGCACAAAGGCACTAACAATGAAGACCTTAGGAAGACAGAGAGAGCCGTGAGAAGGTGGTAGGGCTGGGAGGGTAGAGGGCAGGTGACAATGGCAGTGCAGGGTGGGAAGACTCTGTAGTCAGCAGTCCTCTTACACAGAGTAGACCTGCTCCCCAGGTTTCCAAGGCTGCAGATGCACAGAGTGGTGGGTGGGTTTGAACCGCTGAACTTGCACTGTGCAGCCCCAACATGAAACCCACATGCCACCAGGACTCCTTCAGCTCTGCAAACACCTGGGTTTATGGTCACTATCGTAAAAACGGAGTTTCTAGGTTCCTTCTTTTTCCTTGAAAGTATCTCCCTGAACTCGGGGAAAGTAGATACTCCTGATTCCCATCCAGACCAGCATGAGAAGAAGAATGCTGAGAGTCCACCTAGAAGGCATGGCCAATTCCCACAGGTCGCCTGGACTACTGAGAGCTGTGGGGAGAAGAGTGGTGCCCTGGCTGGGGTGCTCAGGGCCTGTTCTGCTGGAGCCTATTGGTTTGCCACCTCTGCCACCTTCGGGGCTCACTTCTGTCCCTTGGTGATTACCTGCAGCTCTTGCCCACCTTCCCACACACCTGTGCTCCAAAAACTCCCTGCGTGGCACCAGGCCTTGACCATTGACCCCCCCCCTCCAGACTTGAGCCCTTTGAAGGCCAGGCCTAGTGGCTCTTTTGCCCAGCACCCCGAGTGCTTGCCCACCTGGGTTGGCCTGGCCACAAACTAGCTTTTCTGTAGCCTGAAATCCACTTCCCAGATCCAAATGAGACGTGTACTGGACAAGTGTGCCCGCCCTCAGTGATGAGAGGTGACAGAGTGGTTCTGGGCCCTGGACAGTCAGTGTTCCCCACCCCCACCTCTGCTTTTCCAGCTTTGTGGAGATCCGACACCATCTTATCACGTCCTTGCAGCCTGAATGGGCTCAGGGAGGCCTGTGATCATTCCCACTCTCATTGTACCTGTTCTGAAAGAGTACCCAGTAAGTACCCTGCTT